TCCGCCCTGCCGTTTCATCAGTTAATAAACTTTATTTAATTGATTTTTTGTGGTGGTGATTTTGGTCCATTATACGGGGTTCGTTACATAAATGGGGGGTTCCGCAGGGGTTCATCCTGGGTCCCCTCCTATTCTCTTTATACCTGCTGCCGCTTGGTGCCATTTTCCAGAAACACAACATGCCCTTTCACTTCTATGCCAATGACTGTCAAATTTACTTCCCCCTAAGACACAATGGTACATGCTCTATTCAACCTCTGCTCAACTGCCTGGCTGACATCAGGGACTGGATGACTTTAAACTTCTTAAGTTTCAATGAAAAGAAGTCTGAAGTCATGTTGTTCCCTCCCAATGACACGATCACAAACCACTGCATCGATCTTTCCGCTCTAACCCTGTCAGAAAAACAGAGTCACTAATCTGGGAGTGATGATGGACCCTTCCCTGAAGCTTAACAATCATGTAAACATGATTGTTAAATCATGCTTCTTCCAACTGAGGCGGCTGTCTAAACTGAAGCCCATATTGTCCAAAAATAACCTGGAGACAGTAATACATGCATTCATTACATCTAGGCTTGATTACTGCAATTCGCTCCTGTTTGGTATCAGTCAGACCTCCATTGCACGACTACAACTGGTCCAGAATGCAGCAGCCCAATTTTTAACCAGTACAGGCAAAAGAGAGCACATTACACCAGTTTTGGCCTCACTACACTGGTTACCAGTTCACTTTCGAATCCAGTTCAAAATACTCATGTATGTCTACAAATCACTGAACAGTTTCGCCCTAAAAAAAAACTCAAACTTTGGTGTCTTCTGTTATTTAAAAACACTTAAATATATGTACTGGGAGTCTAACAATAAACATCCTCAGCACTATTTTAACATTAGAAAAAAAAATACTACAGTTGACATGTGTTGTAATTTAGAATCAAAAATAATTGCAAACAATAAAAAGTATTTTCTAGTATCACAGGTTTTTTTTTAACATTGAAAATATTGGTTCTAAATAAGGAGTGAGGTGAATCTGGTTCATGTTTATGAAAAGTGAAACTTGCTGTAGTCTTTAAAGTGTTTAATCCCATTAAAACCAGGAACTTAGATGTGTTTAGGATTTTGTTTGTCATTATGTTTTAAAGACTCATCTCCATTCTGTCCATTCTTATCATTAAGTTACATAAAATCTGAGCTCTGAAGTCCTGATTGGTGACCGTTATCTTCTCTTCCTGATTTGGTTTTGTTGTGCACACATAAGACCGAGAAAGAAAACATCTGACTCAGTCTGGTGACACCATTTGAATTAGTTAACGTGAAGTAAAAACCATTTTAAACAGCTGTATAAAAAAGAGAAGAAATGAGGACTGTGTTTGATACTCTGGGATTAGACTGGATAGATGGCAGAAGCATTGCAATAATTTTATTCATTTTCCTGCTTGTGAGCACTTTTTTGAAGAATCGAGCTCCAAGAAACTTTCCTCCAGGACCGTGGGCTCTTCCTGTCATCGGTGACCTTCATCGAATCCAACCTTCCAGACTCCACCTGCAGTTTTCTGAGGTAGAAATAAAAAGAGTATTATCATGTTTATACGTTTAAAATCTGAATTAAAATATGACAAATCTGATGTTGTAGAACAGGAAAGTCACTTTCATGGGGCAGTGTATATAAAGACTGAATATTCAGGTTTGGAGACAGGAAAACAATAAAGGCAGAGCAAATGGAATCACATCACATTACAGAGCTGCAGCTCCACTGGTGTATACAGTATTATATTTTCCATGTCCTACAGCCTGTTACTACCTCGCTTGTAAGCAGAGGCGCATTAGAGATGGACTGTCTCAAATCCCCTCAACCACCCATGGGTTTTTCTTAACGGACTGAAGTGGCCAGAACACTTCTCAGTCCCTGACTTGGGTGTCTTGTGAATGAACCTTGAGACAGAGTGAGGACTTTGACGAGGATGACGAAATCCTTAGATCCTTGTGTACTGTTTCTTTTTTTATATTTTGTATTTTGAGTGTAACTGGGACCTTGAGTACACAGTTTCATTCCACCTCATGTACCACATGTGATACGAATGACAATAAAGTCACCGTGAACCTTGAGGTCCATAATTTGTTTTTGAAAAGGAAAAAGAGTAAAAGTGCACCAAGTGTCACATGCCTGCGTGTGTCTGATCCCTGGCATCAGCCTTTGGTAGTCATCAAAAGTGTGCTCAGGTGTTTCCTTGACTGTTTTTTTTTCTTTCTTTCTTTACCCTTGAGTGGTCTGAATACAAAAAAAAAAATACATATAACCATTGTATCCTACAACAGTGATTATTCCTTAAGAGCACTTGGAACTATGATGGTAGATGTTGGACTTAAAAAATGCTCTTTTTCAGTATTTTACAATGTCATAATTTTTAGGACAGTTTTGCCATATATTAATAATAATGTCATCACAATTTCATCACTGTATGTGGCAAAATGGCAAAATTAGCATTTAGCCCATCCACCACCAGGTGGTGCAATGGGCAGCTATTGAAAGCACCCGGGGGGCATTTTGAGGATGATGTGTGCTGCCCAGAGACACCACAAGGTGTGCATTGACCATAGTGACACAGTATGCATATTTTAACATATAAATTAGGATAATATCAGAAAAAAGGAGAAAAAAAAACGTTGAGATGACCTGACATTGTTGGATTTTATACCTGAATTACTGAGCATGAACTTTGGTATAATAACAGTTTTTCAATAAATGAAGGAAAAATATTATTTTATGAAATACTTGTAGTTAGACAGACCACATATTGATTGCTATGACTACTGCTGAAAAAAAAGTAATTGATATAAAATCATTTTGGTGCATTACATAAGTGTACCAGTTCACTTTAACAAGCTCATTTTTACTAAAATGCACTCTTTGACATGGAGGAATACAAATTCATTGTCTTTGTTCAGTTTGCAGAGATATATGGGAAGGTTTTCAGCCTTCGCCTCTTTGGAGGTAGGACGGTGATTATTATTGGCTACAAGCATGTGAAGGAGGCGCTTGTCCAAAAAGGAGAAGACTACGCAGACCGGCCAATCTTGCCAACGTTTCAGAAAGTATATAATAATACAGGTGGTGTTTGTTCCTTTTTTAAATTTGGAAACTAGTGTCTAAAAATCCATCATCATCAATTTTTTGTGGTATATGTATATAAAGATTTACAACACATTGACACATTGTTTTGTTTCCTCTAAAAGGTATTGTAACATCAAATGGTTATCTATGGAGGCAGCAGAGAAAATTTGCTCTTCAAACTCTGAGAAATCTTGGTCTGGGAAAAAAGGATTTGGAGCTTTCTATCCAGCAGGAGTGCCAGTATCTCACTGAAGCTTTTGCAGATCATAAAGGTACAGAAAAATTCCACTATACCCATTTTTATACTGACACATATTTTTTTTTTTTTATCCACTTATCATGTTTTTTCTTCATTCAACATGTTAAAAACATGGGGAAATATTTTCCCCAGGTACCAATGTTAAAAATTCCTGACAATAAATAACCTAAAAAACATCAATAAATAAGTTCCACAACCTAAAATCTTCCTATTTAAACATATACTTAAAAACAAACAGCAATAAAAAAAACTGTATGAACAATAAAACACAACATTAAAGTGCAGAAGGCAGCATAAAATCCTAAATTCATGAGCTTCACAGCCTCTGGGTTGAACCTGCTTCTGAACCTGACTTTTTTAATGACTTTCTCACCGGAGACAAGTTCATTTCTAAATCAAATTAGGAAGTACAGTAAGCCATTGCATCATAGACTGAGACCACCAAGGTGATCCACAAAGCGTCACAGGAAGTCCTTCCTCCTTGTGGCCATCAAACTTTTCAACTTCTACACTTTCTACACACAGGACAATAAAAATTAATACAGCACTACAATAAACACTTTAATGTATTTTTGTACCTCTCTGTTATTTTGATATTCTGTATTATTTTTATATATTTTGTGATTCCTTGTGCATGTTCTTTTTTATTGAAACCCTGGCACAATAATTTGCTGAGGGATCAATAAAGTTCTTATCTTATCTTAAATTTATGAAGAACTTATCAGAGATAGAATTGTCTGTGACATAAATAACGACCACCTCAGAAAGGTTCTGTTACGTGACAGTGGTTTAACTTTAGCTAAGGTCATTTGTAAGGATGGTACCATTTGGTGGACTCGGTTTGTGTCTGTGTTTCCCTTGTGTGTTCTCTTCAGTTTAATTGGTGTCACCCTTGTCTTGTCACAGCTGTTTGTAATCACGTCTCGTTTTGTCCTTGTATAAAAGCTGTCTGTTCTGTCTTGTTCCTCGTCGCGTCGTATTCGTTTGGGTCTTCTGTGTTCTCCTGTGTCTCCTGAGTTTTCCTGAGCTTCCTGAGTCCCGTTTGAGTATCCCTCCTGAGTCTACTAATTTATGTAAGTGTTGCTGCCTCGTCAGCTTATTATTTTGTTGCTTTTTACTCATCATTAAAGTATTTGGTTTTGTAATCTGCCGAGTTGAGTCCTGTCTGCACTACTGGGTTCGTTCCTGTCCACCAAACCCTGACACCATTTCAATGAGTCAGATTCACAAAATGACTGAAGAGCATAATAAAACGCTAATGTCCCCACACAGCTCTGTTACAAATGTAGATTATGTTCAAATCAGATGTGAGAAGAAACAAAGGCCAAGTTTAACAGTAAACCAACACATCACAGCTCATTACTGTCTGTAATAATTGTGGTAGTAGTCATGAGGCAAAGAGAAACAAATGCACAGCTTATGGTCAACAGTGTAATGCATGCAGGAAAATGAACCTCTTCAGAAAGTGTTGCAAATCCAAACCTCAGTTTGACAGGCCAAGACATAGAAAGTCAGTCCACCAGGTGGATATGGATCTAAAAGAGGACCATGATAATGAGACATACTATGTCAACGGCATAACACTGGACATAACAGTAGATTCAGCCTGTGCACAAACACAGGAAAAGGAAGAGGCTTTCACTACCTTACTGATTAATGGCAATACAGTTTAAATGAAAGTGGACATGGGTGCTAAATGTAATGTCCTCTCAGCAAAGACTTTGAAAAAAGTGAAAAGAGATTAACAAATACAGCCATGCAGCAAACATACTAACCTTGTTGCATATAGTGGTAGTAAGAAACAGACTAGGATTTGTTAACTTATGTTGTCACCTAGGGGCCAAATGCTATACTCTGCCGTTCTTCGTTATGAATGAAAATGTACTGCCATTGTTTGGACTCATTGCTTCATTACAGATGGGACTCATATCTCTCAGTAAAGAAGTTCATCAAGTGATCAAGTCCACAGTTCAGGATTTCATTAAGAAAATCAAAAGTGAATATGGTGACATTTCACAGATGAGCTAGGAAAACTACCAGTTATATTCCATGGCATTTGATCCGAAAGTGAGACCTATGATTCACCTGCACATCACATTCCTGTCACTATGAAAGACCAAGACAAAGCTGAACTGGACAGAATGCAAGAGCTGGTGTCATCGCTCCAATCTCAGTGCCCACTGGCTGATTATCCTCTATGGTTGCTACCAACAAAAAGGACAAAAAGGAAATCAGAATCTGCATCAATCCTAAGGACTTAAACATGGCTCTGAAAAGACTACATCACCCAATGCGCACAGTGGATAGCGTTACATCACAAATGTCTAATGCCGCAGTTTTGTCAGTTCTAGATGCAAAGAACTCATTCTGGTGAGTCTCTCTATGTGGGGTTTCTGTGTGTTCTGTCTTTTCATGCACATCCATGTGTTTCTCACCCTTGTGTTCAGTCTCTGTCACACCTGTCTCAGTCTCTAATCACCCCAGGTGTTCATCATCAGGTTCTCATTAGTCTCTGTATATATTCTGTCTTTTCACTCCTCCTGTGTCTGGACATTATCCTTCAATGGTTTCATGGTGCTGTTCTGCATGTCCTCACCACCCTCAAACATAACTTTTTTCTTCCCCATCAGCACTTTGTTTTTGTTATTTGTAAAATAAAGTTATTATTATTTTACTTCCAAGTCTCCTGTCTCAGCCTGCATGTGGATTCAATCAAACAACCAGAATCGTGTTACCCTAGACCACAACTCCTTGATGCTAACCACTTTCAGCTCCTGTTTTGGTCATTACAGGTTCTTGCGGATGCTGTTTGGAATCTTCTCTGCCAGTGATGTGCTCCATCACTCCATGGAGCAGATCTTCACCGGCTACCTCTACACAATCACTGTGGATGATATACTTAACGGAGGGAAATACATTGAGGAGCATGATGCTAATCTGAGAAAAGTACTTAACAGAGCCAGACAGGTCAACTTGAGACAACCCTCTCACATGCAAGTTCAGGCTGAACTAGGTCAGTTACATTGTCCATGTCTTCTGCCCAGGGTTTAAAAGCAGATTCATTTTAGACCAAAACAGTGACATGCTTGTCTCAACCAACATTCCAGACCTGCAAATACTGTATTTCTTGGTATGGTCAATTAGCTTGGGAAATTTATCCCCAAGTACAATGAAATCACTATTCCACTCAACAACTCACACATAAGGACAGCAAGTGGTTGTGGCACAAACAACAGCAACATGCTTTCAACACGCTAAAGGAGCACATGTCAAACCCACCAGTACTATAATACTATGATGTTCACAAGCCTGTCACACTCAGTTGTACTTTCATAAAATGGACTTAGAGCAGCATGTCTGAAGGAAGGCAAGCCTGTTGCCTATGCCTCATGCACCCTTATGCCCAAATAGAAAAAGAGCTGTTCCAAATAGAAAAAGAGCTGTTAGCAGTTATGTTCACATGCTCAAAGTTTCACAGTTACATCTATGGCAAATCAATCACTATCAAGATTGACCACCAACCTCTGGTGACAATTATCAAAAAGTCCATCCATGTACCACTGGCTAGACTGAAGTGCATGATGCTAATGCTTCTAAAGTATAGCATCACTCTTGTATACAAAAGTGGAAAACAAATGCACTTGCCTGACACTTTGTTGAGTGCTCCTATAGGAACACCACAACTCAACTAGTAGACAAATTGGATGATTTTGATGTAATGTCAATCTGTTGCGTGCCATCTGCTCATTTGCAGGAACTAAAAGAGTACACTGCTGCTGACCACACTCTCCAAATAATTAGCAACATTATCAGATGCGACTGGCCAAACAAACAGCACAATCTTCCGCTTGTAGTGCGTCCCTACTTTCCTTTCAGAGATTAACTTACTGTTGACAATGACATTATGATGAAAGGATAGAAACCTGTGATCCCTACATCTTTAAAAAAGATGTACTCAAGCATTATACACAGAAGCCACCCAGGTGCAGAGGCCACAAAATGAAGAGCAAGAGGCATTGTGCTTTGGCCAACAGTGACAAAAGATACTGAAGTGGAAGTGCAGGCATGCTCAGTGTCCAACAGTAGAAAACCACATCTACAAAATGAGCTGCTTCACTTGTACCCTGTTCCGGAGCTGCCCTGGTCAACTTTAGCAGCAGATATCTTTGACTGGCACAATCAGCAGTACCCAGTACTAGCAGATTCATTCTCAGGTTGGTTTGAGATTGATCTGTTATGCAATCTCTCCTCAGCAACAGTAATTGGTAAACTGAAACATCACTTAGTTCACGGAGCATCTCACACTCTCATATAGACAATGACTTATAAGTCATTGTTTGCAAAACAGTGGGACGTCACTCATCTAACAAGCATTCCTTAACATCCCCAATCTAACGGATTAGCAAAGAGAGCTGTCTGTAGTGCTGACAGTCTCATGGAGAAATCTCACAAACATACTGAAGAAACAGCAGACACATCATACCCATTGCTGAACCTGCTCTGACTCACTTCCATCCACAAGACTCGTATCAGGACAAAGGCCTGACCAAGCAAGGTGTGTTACACTCACCAGACAGGGAAACACTGCTCAGAACATGGACTCTGAGTGTCCTATGGCTCGAGCTTCAGTCTCTGACCAATATGTGAAGGTAAATGAAGGTCTTTACAGAACCTGTTCAGGTCATATCAGTAAACCCAACCCCAAGTACAGAGATTAGAAATACTAGGAGGATATCTAAAAAAGTTAAATCTGGTCCTCTGGACATTCAAAAAAACAAAGCAAAACAACAAAAAATGTAGAAACGTTTCGTCTCTCGTCCAAGAGACTTCTTCAGTCTGAGGTGCTGTTTTCAGCTCAGTCTCTTAAATAGCACCTTCTCAGAGTGGATCAACCAGTTTTGCTGCTGACAACCAAAACCAGCTGATCACATGCTCAAGAAGGACCATCAGCCTAACAATGGATCATTAGCACACTGATGGCTGTTTACTATTCACAGAGGGCTGAGTGATACT